CAAAAATCGGCAAGGCTATATTGGAATTACATGCTCATACATTGATTGTCAATTTAAATTAAAAGAAATAACTCTTACAATCCAATATGTTCATTATCCTCATATAGCTGATCATATCCACAAAACAGTAGAAGAAATTATTAAATATTGAGATCTTTATAGAAAAGTATATTCTATAACTACTAATAGTAGTTCAAATATAAAAAAAGCTGTAATAAAAATGGATAAAGTCATGTGGCAACATTGCAGTTCTCATACTTTACAATTAGTAATAGGAAAGGCATTATTATCAGTAGAATCTTTAATTGCCCGTGCTAAACGTTTGATTGATTTTTTCTTACATCCTAAACAGTCTAAACGATTAGAAGAAATTCAGAAAAAAAACCCAAATATGATACGTGTGGTAAATTCAGTACTATTATTTAATAATTAATTATTTATATCATTTTAATTTTTTTTAATATAATTAAAGAATGCAGAAGAAACTGCCAAATATTTAGTTAATTGCATTTCAGATTGTAGAACTCGGTGGAATAGTTCTTATTTAGCTTGGATTCGATTAGTTCAAATTAAGGTTTATATTGAGCTTTTAATCATTTATCTTACATCACATAATAATTTTGATGATTATAAAGATGAAAAATGATTACGAGAAATCAACCTAACAAATTCAGAATGGGAATTAATTAAAGAACTTTTACAAGTTCTTGGACCATTCGAAGAAGTAAGTAAAAAGTTTAATGCATAGCTATTAAATTAATTTTATTAATCTAATATTAATTATTATAGGCAACCAGATACTTGGGTGGTTTCTATTATGCAACACACAGTCTTATGCATCGGGTTGTAAGAGAATTGAAAAATATTTTTAAATCAAATCAAGTAAATGAAGATGAATCATATAATATTAAAGATCACAATGCATTTGATGATTATGAGGAAGAGGAATCACAAAATGAACAATCTCGAATTAAGTTAAACAAACCAGTAAATACTACAGGCCTCTTAGAAAAAGTAAAACATAATTTGTATAAAAAATTATGTTATTACTATCCTAATCTTACACCGCAAGAATCAGTATCTGCATTACTAGACC